ATTTTCCAGGAAGGACTCAGTAAATTGTTTTGTAACAGGATCTCTCTCTCCCTCTCCCCTTCTCTCTCCCTTGCGAGGAACGTGTGGCACAGACACGGGATTTGCTGTGTGTGTGTGTGTGTTTGCGTCTGGTGTAGAGGAACTGACAGTTGACAGCTCCCAACAGGTTCAACCCCCCCCCTCCCACCCTGAACCTGAGCAAGTGGGAGAGAATGAGATGGATCTGTTTCACTTGTTAACAGGTTCCTTGTCAGTGGCTGTGCCCCAGCCCCTCGGTCGCTCTCAGGGTGAGTTGAGGGTGGGGGAAGCTGACTATGGAGTTCTCCCCCTAACCCCCCCACCCCCCACCCCCCACCCCCATGGGAGAGCTCAGTGCACAAAAGGTTAACGGAGACACAAGCATCTTTTGATATGAATAATAATAATAATCCTTGCATTTGATACAGCGCCTTATCAGGACTTTGAGAATGTACAATATACTGTGAAAGTGTATTGACTGTGTGTATTGTGGGCAAAACGCAGCAGCCAGTTTTTATTATTCCTTCGTTGTGAGGAGAGCTTGTCAGCAAGTTCTCAAGCGGGGAATGTGTTGAGCAATTTCCTGATTGAATTCTCTCCCCCCCCCCACCCACCCCGCACACTCCGGCCAATCCCCAATCCCAATCCAGTCAGGCGTTTGTCACAGTCAGGCCAGCCCACAGTCAAACTCACTGGCAGAGATTAGCAGCTGGAGGGAGATCACTCGGTTACACAAGGAGGGAGAGAGAGAGAGAGAGAGGGATCGCAGAGGCTGAGATAAAGAGAGAGAGAGAGCTGTGCAGTAAAATATTGCTGGACGTTGCTGTATTCAATTGGCTGCCGCGTTTCCCCCACAAAATACAGTGTATCCTGTGAAGCGCTTTGAGACGTCTTAAAGACGTGATAAGGCGCTGCATCAAATGCAAGGATTATTATTGATATTATGAATGAAGACCGAAGGGAAGAATTGGACTACAATCTTTGTGAATGTCTTAAATTTCCTGGCTAGTGCCTACCACCACCCCCCCCCCCCACCCCACACACACATACACACACAGCTGTTGTGTCTGTACAGCACTTCCTCTTTTCGGAGGGCGGATGAGGGCTTTATCTCATCCCCCGGTGACCGGAGAGGAAACTGGCCCACAGTGATAAGCTTCTCTCTGCCTCAGGCAGGGGGATTCAGGGTCCCAGCCCCACTGTGTGAGTGATTATCAGCTCAGGGCAGGTGGAACCCAGTTTCTAGTCAGACACTAAGAATAATCAGTGCACAAACTGACAAAATGTGTCAGGGTTTTTTTTTGTGTGTGTGTGTGTGGAAGGGGAGAGGAGGGGAGAGGAAGGGTGGAGTACTGGGCTGGGGTGAGGTCAGAGCACCTGTGAGTTTTGGTTGAGCCCAGACTGACTGGGATGGGTGGGGATGGGGGCATTCCCCTCTCACTGCCCCCCCCATCGAGGGAACAACCTCATTCCATTTGGATTCCACAGCATAAACCTCGCTCGAATGTGCACTAGACACTCAATAATAATAATAATCCTTGCATTTGATACAGCGCCTTATCACGTCATTGAGGCGTCTCAAAGTGCTTTACAGAATATACTGTAAAGTGTATATTCTGTGGGCGAAATACTTGTTATTGAGGGTTGACTGAAGCTGAGACCATTTGAAGATGAGATTAGAGGCTCACAATCATTAACAATCACTGTTAGAAGCTGTTTTGTGATTTGCAAGTTCTTAACCAAAAAAAAGGAAGTCTGCCAAACGAAGCCGGTTAATGTCAGGGATTATTGTATGTCAGTGTGACTGGTACAGACACGTCACGTGTGAACACACTGAGCCTGGCAGCAGCTAACACAGGTGTAACACAAACAGGGAGTGCCTGTTTACCACCCTCACCTCACCCCAGCCCTTAGGTGTTCAGCGGCTTACAGGCTGTTGACAGGAGGTTAATCCGCTGGGGCTGGAATGGACATGACTCTTGGCTGTGTGGCTGATAAGTTAGAGCAGTTTACGCTCTAGTCATCAGGCTGTGTCTGTCTGTGTGTCTGACTCTCTGGACTGGCCTGACCAGATCACACTGGGCACCGTATCTACCAAAGGCCATCGATGATGGTTGACAAGAGCACGAGGAACATTCTGGAATAGGAGCCTGTCCATTGTGGATGAGGCGCAGAGTTTGATGATGGTAATCGGTGCATTTGATACAGCGCCTGATCAAGTCTTTGTGACGACTCAAAGCGCTTCACAGAATATACTGTTAAGTCTAATGACTGTGTATTTTGTGGGCAAAACATATACACAGTCATTATCCAGGTTGAGAGCTGGGAGTTTGTGTATGTCAATGTGTATGTGTGAGTGTCAGTGTGTATATCAGTTTGTGTATGTTTGTCTTTGTGTGTGTGCGTATGTCGGTGTGTGTGTGTCTTTGTGTGTGTATGTTGGTGTGTGTGTCAGTGAGTGTGTGTAGCTCGGCGTATGTGTCGGTGTGTGTCAGTCTGTGTGTTTGTCTCTGTGTGTATGTGTGTGTCAGTGTGTGTTTGTCAGTGTGTGTCTGTGTATCAGTGTGTGTGTCTGGGTGACCAGCTCCTATGGTTTCGGCTGGGCCTGAGTCTGTGCTGCAAGTTTGGACACGTCTGTGTGTTTTGGAAAGAAACCCTTGGTCTGTTTGTGCTGAGTTTGTTTTCCAGTCAAACTGACAGACAGAGAGCATCCGAAACCCAGCAGCGTCTCTCAACAGCAACAACAACATTACATTTGTACAGAGCCTTTCATGTCGGGAGGACAACCCAAGGCGCTGGACAGTCAGTGTTTCGGATCTCTCTCTCTCCCTCTCTCTCAGTGAACGTCTCTGTCAATGACATCGGGGCTAATCTCTGGGTTATGGTGGACAAAGTGCTCCGAGACGCTGTATAAATCCAACTGGTTGTTGAGGGATAGTGCTGTGCACAGTCACTACACTTGTCAGCTACTCCCCAGGGAGATGCTTGGACACTGTAGGTGCAGGGGGCGGGGGTCGAGTGTGTGTGTGTGGGGGGAGGGGGGGGTTGGGTGTGTGGGTTTGGGTGTGTGGGTGGGGGTTTGGGTGTGTGGGTGGGGGTTGTATGTGTGAGGGGAGGCGGGGGTCGAGTGTGTGTGTGTGTGGTGGGGGTGTGTTGGATGTGTGTGTGTGTGGGGGGGGGGGTTGGGGTGTGTGGGTGGGGGTTGTGTATGTGTGTGTGGGTAGGGGGGTGGTTGTATGTGTGTGTGTGTGGAGGTGGGGGAGGCTCGTTGCTGGCTGTGGGTTGGGGCCGAGTTGTGTATAAGCTCCGCTCTGTGCTGGGAGCGGGGACTAATAGTGGCTGTGTGATGGTTCCCCCCCCCCCCACCCCCACACACACTCAGCCGCTGGGCTGTCAGTGGCCATTGTGCTCTGGCTACAAGGGCAGCGTTGTTAGTGCTGTGTGTGTGTGTGTGAAGCGTCCCCCAGAGCTGCATCTGCCTCACACGCGAGGTGGGGGGGAGCCAGTGTACAGCTGTTCAGGGTACAGTGTCGTGTTCAGTCCATGAAATATACCCCCATCTCCCCCCCCCCCCCACCTTGCCAGTGTTTGTGCCCCAGAGAGACGAAGTTCGGGGATTTCCACCTCGGCCCCTCTGGGGTGTCGCGCACGTGGCTGGTGTGTCTGTGTGTGAGTGTGTGTCTCTGTATGAGTGTGTGTGTCTGTGAGTGTGTGTCTGTGTGAGTGTGTCTCTGTGTGAGTGAGTGTGTGTCTCTGTGAGTGAGTGTGTGTCTCTGTATGAGTGTGTGTCTCTGTGAGTGTGTGTCTCTGTGAGTGTGTGTCTCTGAGTGTGTGTCTGTGTGAGTGTGTGTGTGTCTGTGTGAGTGAGTGTGTGTCTCTGTGTGTGTGTCTCTGTAGGTGTGTGTCTGTGTAAGTGAGTGTGTGTCTCTGTCTGTGTGGGTGTGTGTCTGTGTGAGTGAGTGTGTCTCTGTGTGAGTCAGTGTGTGTGAGTGTGAATCCAGGCAGTGATGAGGAGCAGTGGTCTGGCTGAGATCAGTCACTCAGCACAGAGCAGGACTGGTGCCTGTGACCGTGTACCTGGTGCCAGTTTGCTGTGTGGGGCTGTCAGCGTCTCCTGGATGTCATGTGTGTGTGTGTGTGGGGGTGGGGGGGGGGTGGGGGGTGATTAATCACACTGCCATGGTTAGCTGCCAAGCTCGGAGTTTGAGGAAGTGAGTGTTTCAGAGTTAGTCTGGTGGGAAAACCCATTATGTGTATTTGTGTCTGTGTATTTGTGTGTATGTATGTGTGTGTGTGTGTGTATGTATTTGTGTGTGTGCATTCCAGAAGAGCTCATCCCATTCCCGAGTGGGGCAGATTCCCGTGTGTAGGTGGGGTACATGTGTGGAGCTGTCAGTCTGGGTTTGGAGAGTAATGGGGTGTCTGTGTGTGTGTGTCTCACACCAAACCCCCCCCCCCCCCCCACTGAATACGTGCCCTCTGGTGATAGCTCACACACACTACAGGACAGCGCTGGGGAAGCTGAGCTCAACCTGCATTTAATACAAAACAAACCTTCCCTTTGAGTCAGCACTTTATCAGGTCAAAAACATCTCAAAGGGTTTTTACGGTAATTACTGCCCGATGTCGTGAACTGTGTATTTCGTAGGCGAAAGTGGCAGCAAATTGCGCACAGCGACAGCCCACAAACAGCCACAAAGTGTTTTTTTGGTCAGCCGGGCGTCTGACACACTGCGGAAGCCCATCATAGTGCTCAAGAGTCTCCAAACCAAGCTGAGAATTCCAGGCCTCCCACCTGGGAATACAATACAATACAAAACTACATTTGTCTAGCGCCTCTCACATCAGGACGTTGCCCCGGGGCACTGGACAGTCAGGGAAGATAGATTGAAGTTAGTGTGTGTATGAGTGAGTGCTCGCGTGTGTGTGTCCCACATTCTCTCCCGCAGACACTAACGCTCCCCCTCTCTCTCTGTTGGCAGGGTCTGTGTGTGGCTGGAGTGCGCGGGCCTGACAATGGCGTCCCGCACAGGGCTGCGGTTGCAGCTGATGCGAGAGCAGTTGCAGCAGGAGGAGCAGCGGGAGCGGGAGCAGCAGCAGGCAGCCGTGCATTACATGCAGCACCGCATGGCGGTGACGGCCGCCAGCACCCCTGCCATCAACGTCAGCAACTCCGCACCCCTGCAGCCCCGGCCACAGGTCCCTGTGGAGATCTTAAAGGTAACTGTCGCTATAGTAATAATAATAGTAATAATAATAATAATAATCCTTGCATTAGGTATAGCGTCTTATCACGTCTTCAAGATGTCTCAAAGCGCTTCACAGAATATACTGTAAAGCGAATTGACTGTGTGATTTGTGGGCGAAATGCAGCAGCCAATTGTGCACAACAGTGTCCCACAAACAGTCGTGGATTGAGTGACCCAATTATTACTATTATTTTGTGGGGAGGGATTCTTACTCCTGGAAAAGCAATCCGTCAATCGACTGACAAGTGGGTTCCTACTCACAGCTGGTACACACAGGCATGTGTGTGTGTGACGTTTCCTCCAGTGCTCGCATCTGCCTCACAGAGGCGTATGTGTGGAGTAAGGAAACTTGCCTAAGGTTTCACCCTTCCCGGCAATCAAACACAGGTCCTCTCGCTTGCAAGCAGTGAGTTTACAGTGTGCTGTGGCCCACTCATTAACTCGGTGTCTGATCACACTCATGCGTCTGTCCTGTGACCCGGGGTGACTGGAGCAAACAGTAATAATAAATGCTAAAGGACCTCAATACAACCTGCTAACCTGGCAGTGAATCCCTGACCAGGAACCAGTCACTGGCTACTTGACTAATGTGACGACTGGTTACTGTGTGTGTGGCTTTGTCACTGTCAGGCAGTCACTCAGCCTCTCACGAGCCAGTCTATGAAAGGTCAGGGATGAGGACGGGGGTGTGGAGTGGTGGGGGGGGGGGATTTCCTGGAACAAGACAAAGAGTGATTATAATGCAATATGTGGGTGACATTTGGTTATAGTATAATAAGTGGCTTGTGCAATGAGTGGCTGATGGGGGTCAGAGCTGGGTGGGGGTTCGGGGCTGGGGTAGAGCTGGAGTTGGGGGGTTTTGGGGGGGCTGAGGGCTGCTGGGGGCTAATGTCCTATTGCTGTGTGCAGGTACAGACACACCTGGAGAACCCCACCAAGTACCACATCAGACAATCCCAGAGACAGCAGGTGAAGCAGTACCTGTCGACCACGCTGGGCAACAAGCTGGCCAGCCAGGCCCTAACGGCTGGACACTCTCCCCAGGCCCCCACCGTCTCCCCCGGCCTCCGCAATGATCATGTCATCTCCACCTCCACCGGCAACAGCGCCCCCAACAGCCCCATGGCCCTGCTCAACATCGGCTCCAACCCCGAGCGAGAGGTAAGCACCCAACTGGAAGGCGGGGCCGGTGGTGGGGGGGGGGGGCGGGGGGGAGGCGGGGCCGGTGCGGGGAGGTGAATTATTATTGGAAGAAGTTACTTTATTCTGTGGGGGGGGTTAATTGGTTGTGGTTGAGATGGAGCTATGTGTTGGGTGCGTGTGGTGTGTGTGCCAGGCGTGTGCCAGGCGTGTGTACCATACTGTGGTGTCTCCCCAGATGGATGATGTGATTGATGACATTATCAGCTTGGAATCCAGTTACAATGACGAGATCCTGACCTACACAGACCCTGTCCTACCTCTGCCCAACACCGTGAGTCAATGCCAAACACTGCCCCCCGCGCTCTCTCTCTCTTCCTCTCACACATACGATCTGTCTCGCTCTCACACTCTCTTGTCTCTTTTTCTCTCTCTCTATTTTCTATATCTCTCTCTCTCTGTGTGCCGCACACTCACTCGCTCTCCAGCTCACACGTGTTCTCCCACTGTTTCACTCAATCACACTGACTCTCTCTCGCATACTCACACACTCTCTCTCCCCTCCACTCACCAGTTGCCGTTGGCGAGCAGTACGCTGGAGGTGTTCGAGGGTCAGGGGCTGGCAGGGCCGGTGCTGGGGGTAACGAGCAGCTCTTGCCCTGCGAACATCGCGGTTAAAAAGGAAATGTCAGGTAATGCATCCGTCAGCCACATCAAGCGAGTGGTCCCCACCAGCAGTCTGTCCGCAGGCCCACAATTCTCCCGGAATCAGCTCTCCTCTCCTCTCTGTGGCTGTGTGTGGGACGCTGCTGTGCGCAATTGGCTGCTGCGTTTCATCCACAAAACGTACACTTTACAGTATATCCTGTGAAGCGCTTTGAGACGACTTGACCACGTGATAAGGCGCTGTGTGCCAACACCAGGATGATGATTATCATACAATCCTGCCGCGCTTCGAGACGTTTTGAATGTGAAACGATCTGAATGTGATGTTCGTGCTCGTGTCAGGTTTCTGAGCTCACAGTGTGGGCTGTGGTGCTGGGGCCAGTCGGGGGGGGGGGGCTGCAAGGTGCAATGCTAGGGCGCGGTGTACACGGTGAAGCCAGGATCGCCGTAGCCTAACCAGTCGCCTGTTTTTCGCCAGATGCAGAAGCTCGAGCGTTGGCGAAAGAGCGACAGAAGAAAGACAACCATAACCTGAGTGAGTAACAGCCTCGAGGGGCTGAATGGCCTCCTCCTGTTCCTGTCGTCATGTGTATCTTTACAGTCACGCCCTCGGCTGTTACTGGAGGCACACGGTGACTTTGCTGAGCCTGACGTTCCCGTCTCTCCCTTTCTCCAGTCGAACGCCGGCGACGGTTTAACATCAACGACCGGATCAAGGAGCTGGGAATGATGATCCCCAAATCTAACGACCTGTAAGTGAGCGGCTTGTTAATGGCGACCACTCACCCTGCGCGGGGCTGAACCCCACCCTCCAAACCCCCATCTTCCCCCAACACCCCGGGGCCAGAGTCTTAAATCTCTCACTGTGTGAACCAGAAGCCGGTTTAGTGAACAAGTCAAACCTTTTCCTTGTAAACCCCAATAACCAACACCAGTCTATGTGATGCTCTGTGAGCATGTTACCTGGGTACAGGTGAGGTGAGGGCTGGGGTGGGGGGGGTCTGTGCTGCCCCCTGACCGAGGTTCTCTCCGCAGGGACGTGCGCTGGAACAAGGGGACGATCCTCAAGGCCTCGGTGGAATACATTAAGCGTCTGCAGAAGGAGCAGCACCGCACGAGGGAGATGGAGACTCACTCCAAACGGCTGGAGATGAGCAACAGCCAACTGCGCTTCCGCATCCAGGTACCAGGGTGGGGGGTCGGCAGCTGTCAGGGGGCTGGGGTGTCAGGTACCTGGGGGAGTGGCATCATGTGCTGGGGCGGGGCATTGGGTACCAGGGGGCGGAGCATCGGGCACCTGGGGGCGGGGCATCCAGGTACCTGGGGTCTCTCCCACACACTCCCCCTTTCCCCCCTCTGTGACTCACACACTCTCTCTCTCCCCCCCCCCCCCCCGCCCCATCAGGAGCTGGAGATGCAGGCTCGTGCCCACGGGCTGTCCACAGGCTCGGGGCTGGTGGGGGCCGAGCTGTCCTGCCCCTTCATTAAGCCGGAGGAGGCGGTGGAACCGGTGGAGGAGAATGTGATGGATGGGGTGCAGCCCCCACAGCCCTCGGCAATAGTATTGCCACCAACGCTGGACTTTGGCCAATCGCTGGAGTTGGGGGAGAGCGGGCTGGGCTTCCCCGAGACCCTTGGCCACTTTGCCGACCTTTCCTTCGGGGCCACTCCGCGGCGGGATTACGAGCTGGACGCGATGCTACTGGACACCATGTCTCCCCTCGGCCGAGACCCCCTGCTCTCCTCGGGCTCCCCTGCGGCCTCCAAAACCAGCAGCCGCCGGAGCAGCTTCAGCATGGACGAGGCCGACATCGTGTGAGGCAAACCAGCTGCCAGCGGCGATCACCATCACGCTCTCCGGGCCTCCTGCCGCTGATGGTGTTGACCTAACGGGAAAGTCATCCTTTTGTTCCCCGAGCGTTTCCCAAACGCCTCCGACTCCTCCTCTCGGCAAGTCATCCCGGATTCCCCCGCCCGCTGGTGTTCCCAGATTTGACACCATCGCTCGCTCTCTCCCGGCCGCTCCTCAGCCCATATGCACAGAACATCTCTGGGAGTCCAGTAGCTCAGTGGTTAGAGCCCTCTCCAGCGAGAGGACCTGGGTTTGATTCCCGGGCGGGTCAGGGTAAAATGTTTGGGAAGTTTCCTTACTCCACACGCACACACGCCTCTGTTTATCCAGCAGTCAGCAGGAACCCACTTGTTAGTCGATTGGCGGATCACTTTCCGGGGGTAATAATCTCTTCAAAAAAATAATAATAATTTGTCACTCAACCCATGACTGTCTGTGGGGACTCTGCTGTGTTTCACCCACAAAATATACAGTCAATTCACTTTACATTATATTCTGTGTAGCCTGGCTGGCTGGTGGGAGGGGGCGGAGGGGGGAGAGAGAGGTCTATATGAGCTAAAATGTATATTTATTTCAAATTCAAACCAATCAATAGTGAAAAAAATACAATTGTGTAACAAATCTAAATAGTAAAAATGGGTCTTTTTATAATTGTTGTTTAACACCTTTAGGGAGGCTGGAGGAGGCAGCCCCCAGTCCCGTCCCCCCCATTTCTCCGCACTCCTTAATCCCCTCACTTCCCCAATCCCCGTGTTTCTCAGCCGTCCCTCCAGCTCCCTGATATAGATGCCATGTCCTGGGGCAGCACTGAGTTGTGCCGAAGCTCCCGGTTTTCCTGCCGCTGATGGTTTCTATCTGATAGGAAAGTTAGTGTTTTATTCCCCGAACGCTCCTACACATCACAGGAGGATTGAAAATCCAGTGGAAATGGTGGAAGAGGAATGGAACGGTTAGGCTCTTGCGGTAGAAATCCTGGGAATAATGTGGTGGTTTGGAGGGTGGCGGTGGGAGGGTTGGGGGTGGGTGGGGGGTGAGGGAATTTCTATCTGTGTTTTTAAGATATCCGGTTTGTAAATGTGTATAAATCTGTAAACCGAACGGCCAATCTCAGCAAACGACTCTCACGCCACACGCCCAGAATTCCAGCTGGGAATTTGGGCCGTTCCTTGTGAAGAGAGCAGAAATCCCCTGAATTTATTAATTTTCTACAACTTTTTTGCTCAGTTTTATATTCGAAGGCCAAATGGTCTCACAGACTGAGACTAGGTAGAATTCTGGGCCTTGGCAATTCCCCCTCTCCCCCCCCCCCCTCCCCCCGAGAATATCCAAACGATTATTTGGGGAAAAATGACTGACTTATTTTTTAAAAAGTTTTCAAATAAATGATTATTTTAAAAACTTTGGATTTGATTTAGAGCATCGCGAGAGCGGCCAGATTCCTTCCCTCCTTCCCTCCCTCACTCACTCCCTCTCTCCTGTCATTCCCCTCCCTCACTCACTCACTCACTCCCCCCCCCTCACTCCCCCTCTCCTGTCACTCCCCTCCCGTCCCTTCGACATTTCTGTCAGAGACGAAGCGCCAGTGTTGACTGGTGGCATGAATTACTGATAGTTTTATCTGTGATCTGATCCGCAAACGATTAATGCCCGGGGGGGGGGGGGGGGGGGGAACGGGTGGGGAGGAATGGGGGGGAGGGGGGGGAGAGATTGTGCTGACTCGTCAGATCCATGTTCCGTTTCATGAGAAGAGAAAATAGTGAGATTTTCCAATCTTTATAAAATATATTGTTTTATTTGAATTCCTGTTGTGCTGTTCCTTTGTTTTTCTTTGGAGGTGGATTCAAGCGTCTGGGGGTGGGGGTGGGCTACCCTGCGTGGGGGGGCTACCTTGCGTGGGGGGGGCTACCCAGCGTGGGGGGGGCTACCCAGCGTGGGGGGGGCTACCCTGTGTGGGGGGGGGGGCTACCCTGCTTGAGGGGGGGATTATATAAATGCAAGTTGTTATTCCTGACTGAGTGGAACCCGCCTGAGGTTTACCTATGTCACATCTTCCACGTTGGGAGGACATCCCAAAGCCCATCACAGGCCACACTGTAAAGTGTAGTGACTGTGTATTCGGTTGTGTCCATGTGGGAGCTTCTAATCCAATGGGAACTCCCTCCACTCCAGGCTTCTGTCCTTGTGTCTGTGCCTGAACCGAAGCCCAGAGACCAACTCCGCGCTTCATGTGGGAATGCTGTCGAAGCGCCTGTCCACCTGCAGGAGGCGGTGTTGCTCCACGCACAAAACTTTAGTTAAATAGTGCTGCCGCCTGGGGGCGGAGCAGGGACACTGCAGGACACTGATGAGCCAGAGGTTATTTTATAAAAATGCAAAGAACTTAAAGTCTCCAACATTGATGAAAGGACCAGACTGAGAGTTTCCAGCATTTATTTTCTGCCTTTGTTTGTAAATTTCTAGTTTAACAACTGGACCTAACACAGCCCTCAATTCAGGGCTTGTAGAGGAGCGTTACTGTGTCTGTAACCCTGACCTGGGAGTGTGGACGCACAGTGTAGAGGAGCTTTACTGTGTCTCTAACCCTGACCTGGGAGTGTGGACGCACAGTGTAGAGGAGCTTTACTGTGTCTCTAACCCTGACCTGGGAGTGTGGACGCACAGTGTAGAGGAGCTTTACTGTGTCTGTATCCCTGACCTGGGAGTGTGGACGCACAGTGTAGAGGAGCTTTACTGTATCTCTAACCCTGACCTGGGAGTGTGGACGCACAGTGTAGAGGAGCTTTACTGTATCTCTAACCCTGACCTGGAGTGTGGACACACAGTGTAGAGGAGCTTTACTGTATCTCTAACCCTGACCTGGGAGTGTGGACGCACAGTGTAGAGGAGCTTTACTGTGTCTCTATCCCTGACCTGGGAGTGTGGACGCACAGTGTAGAGGGAGAGGAGCGGGCTGACTCCACATTGTGAAGTTGTGACCTTGGTGGAATTTAATATATGCGATTTCTGCAATTTCTCTTTTCCCAATTAACGTTGATGCAGATGACATATCCCGGCATTTGGAGAAAAATCTCCTGATAAATCAGGCTGGAAATATATTTTTCACTGATTAATTGGGAATCATCAACGGGGGAAAAAATCATGTAGTTTAATTTTTTTTTTAATGTTTAAAATCGGCTGTTCTTAACTCTCTATTTGAGAACTGCAGGTTCCGTCATTCCCTTCCGCAGGACAGGTACCAGATACCAAGGGGAGAGAGTAGCACGGAGTAGAGAGCTCCAGTGGGGGAGCGAGCCCCAGCACAGACACGATGGGGAGAGAGAGATTAGGGAATGGGGTTAGAGTAGAGAGCTCCAGTGGGGATAATTTAATCCTGAAAAATACAGAATCATAAAATCACCCGATTTTTAAAAAAATCTAGAGTTGTTATAAATATATACTGTGTATATATAAGAAGTAACTGAATCCGATGTGGTATAATTCAGTAACCAACCCGTTCCTATGGTTCAGTGGTTAGCACGTGATGCCTGCGAAATGTATGAAAACATTCAGCAGCGATTTCCGAAAGATCATTTACCATCTGAGGAATATCCATCGGGAAGAAAATTAATATCTTTTTACTGAAAGAATTAATTATATAATTTATCAGTGCTGGGGCCTGAGCACCTCTCACAGCTGATTAAGTGGGAATGAAGACCTACTTCTTTCACAAGCTCCTGTTTTACATTGAACCCTGAAAATACTGGTCTCTCTCCCTCTCTCTTTCTTTCTCCTTCCTCTCCCTCCCACTCACCTCTCTCCCCTTCACTCCCTCCCTCTCTATTCCTCTCTTCCTCCCCCCGCATCTCTCTTGCGCCCCCACTCTCTCCCTCTTCCCTCTCCTACCCGCCCACAACCCCCACCCACCCCCCCACCCCCGCCTCCTCTCCCGCGCGCTCTCGCTCCATCTCTCACATTCTTTTTCTCTCACTCTCTCTTGGATCACATGGGTGTAGCGCTCTGAGACGCTGTGTGAAGGGCGCTATACAAATGCAAGTTGTTGTGGAATTGCTGTCACTCTCACACTGCTCAAGTGGTGCTGATGAGACTGTGTGTTACTGGTGAGTTGGAGGCAGACTGACATATTGTCACAGTGACTGATAGTGAATGACTTTCACACTGAGAAAGGAATTGTCAACATAAACGGGAGCTTTGGCCCCACTGCCTGCAGAGCGTTCCGCGGGTTTAACCCCTTCAGGGTCTCAGCCCGGCTCAGGTGGTCTCACCGTCAGGCTAGCAGAGTTGGTCAGAGGGAGAGAGTGTGAACATGAGTGTGACTTGAGTGTGAGCTCAGAGTGAGGCAAGCCGTGCGTGTGAACACTCCATGACAGTCAAGCCGCGGAGACGCCGGCAGTAAATGTTGGGGATTAAGCCGAACACTTTGTAATTAAATCTACATTGACATCTCGCTAATTAGCTCCTTAATTACAATCTAATTCCCGTCAAATCCTCAGCTAATTGTTAATTACAATTAGTGGCAATTACTCGGGTTTTCGTAAGAACCAACGAGACGCCAATGACTGGCTCTGGGTTTGTGTCCTGTGCCCCCTGCATCCCTGTGTGATCAGCCTCAACTCAACAATCAGCACAGCCCCCACCGCCACCCCCCGCCCTCCTCCTCCCCCACCCCCCCCACCCCCCCATCCCCCGGGGCTTGGGCCAACCTCTCTCACTCTCACCGAGGGGGGAGGGCTCATAGCTGTGGGTTATACTCTCTGTCATGGTTTTTGAGCTCACAGCCAGCGCCGTGGGCCCCTCACATGTCATTTGTTGTTGCTGACGTGTCAGTGCAAGTTCTTAACCCGGGATCCTTAACTTCCATCAGACAGACTGCGAGCAGCCGGGGAAACGTTAGAGACATTTATATTCTTGAAACTTTAAAATGAGATGTGAAGGGTGAGAATGAGGCTTTCCCCCCTTCCTCCCCACCTCTCACCCGTCCTCTCTACCCCCATTCCCCCATCCCCCCCACTTTACCCATCGCTGCCCCAGAACACTCAGTCCTGTCTCGCTGATTAACAGCAGTCTGTGATTCTCCAGCTCACACTCTGCAGCGTCAGCTACAGTTTGTTCTGTAAGAAAAACAGCAGCGACATGACTGCAGCCTGGAACGTCTCACAGTAAAAGCAGGAAATTCTCCCTGGAAATATCCAGCTTCAGTCAGCAAAATCTCCCGTCTCCTTCTCTGCGCTGTAACTGTGGGCCTGTGGGCAGGAG